GCAGTGTTTATGGGCCAATCATCTCCAACAACAATGTACAGCGGGTGCCTCCTTAGTGTACATTCCCTCCACTGCTTACGAAAGTGCACGTGTTTCCTGTATTTTGGCAATTCGTCTGGATGGCACTAAAATCCCACCTTTAATCATTTCTGAGGGCAAGAAGGAAAAGATTGAACTTGTTTTGGGCGTTTTTATTCTTGACACTGAAAAAGCCTGGGCCACACAATCAGTTAAAATGAAGTGGGTCGATTTAATTCTGCTGCTTGTTATGCCAGGGAGCCAAAGAGGTCTGCTAGTCTGGGATGCAGCCAGCACTCACCACACTAAAGACATGAAGACATTTCTTCACGAAAAATAGATCGGATAATGATTCCCTCAGGAATGACGGGCTGTCTCCCACACTCTTGATATTGCAATAAACAAGCCATTCAAAGACAATTTGCACATGGAAATGAATGACTCCATTGAAAATAGAATGGAGAGAAATCACTGTGGAAACTTTGTGAAACCTAAACTGCAAGAAGTTGTGACTTGGGTGAAGAACTCATGGGAGGAAATCACTGACAGTGCCAGGCTACCTTGACAAGAAGTACTCATTTAAAGACAGTGCTATTGCTAAACATGAGAGATTTGGTCCACTGATTCTGAAAGAAATGGAGTCATAAGAAATTCACCAGGAAATTCAGGAATTGGATTGTTATGATGATGTGATGATTGTCAGAAGATGATGACATGACTGTCACTGAATAAATGAGTGAATTCTTGATACTGTAGGATTCACAGTGTGTCTGGTTTGTGCTGATAACTACTGTACTACAGTATCGTATACAGGTAATAAATTTTCTTTATTTTCACTTAACAATATGTGTGTACTGTATTCTTCATGGAAAAATAAGACATCCCCTGAAAATATGACCTAATGCATCTTTGGGAGCAAGACACTGTCTTAATTTTGGGGAAACAGGGTATATACAATGAAATACTACTCAGCCACAAAAAAAGATGAAATACTGATATTTGCAACAACATAGATGGACCTTTATATTTTCATTTGGATTTTAAGATGTTCTTTATTTCTGAAAAAATTGCAATGTAATTTTGAAAGACGCATTATATCAATAAATTTGTTTGAGTAATTTCAAACCATGAATGTAGTATTCTTTCCATAAAGATTTGTATCTTTAAATATTCCAAAAGATTTTCGTATTTTTTAATGTGATTTTGCTAATACTTCACATGAGATCTACCCTCTTAATATTTAAGTGTACAGTATATTAACTACATGTAGAATGTTGCATTGTAGATTTTAGATCTATACCTTGATTTTTTTAAACTAAAACTTTATTTTTATTAACTTAATAACTCCTGATTATTACCTTCTTTAATAACAATCACTATTTCACATTTTGTGCCTATAAATTTTAACTATTTTGGATGCATAAGTACAATTATGCTGTATTTGTCTATCTGTGACTAGTGTATTTCACTACTCAGATTGTCTTCAACGACGTAAAATAATAAATCAACCAATATGCATATAAAAAAGCTTATGCAACTGTTATGACTGGTCAATTGGACTTTCTGTCAACCAAATGACTGGCTGCTATGGCAGCTGGTTAACAAAGAAGCAGATGGTCAACAAAGAAGTTTTCCTCTGATGGTCAGTGTGCTCCCACAGCCAACCTTCTGCTATTGGACAACCTCCCTCCCTCTAGTCATTGGTCCAGCCAGCCAATCTACTGTTGCCATAATTGGGCTGGTTGGCCTTGATAGGAACTGGGCAAGATGGCCCAGATTGCCAGCCAGGCAATGTACGAATTTGTTCACCAAGCCTCTAACATTAAAGTATTTACTAATATACTTAACTAAGGAGGTGGAAGATTTGTATACTGAGGAGTACAAAAAATTAATGAAAGAAGATAGGAGGAAATGGAAAAATTTCTCGTATATCGTAAGAAAACATTATGGTCCACAAATATTAATTTCTGTCTGAATCCTAATGGCATAATTTTTTACAGAGATAGAAAAAAACAATTTTATAATTCCAGTGGAAATATAAAGACCACAAATAACCAAATCAGTCTTTAGAGAACAGAGCATAAAAGAGCCAGAAGACATTTGATAGAGTTCCAAGAATACACAATCAGATTGTTATTAGAGAATTAAACTCCTCGGTCCCTCATGGTTGTGAAATTATGGTTCTTTATGCACTGATTAAGCATTTTTAGCAGTCTTACTAGGAAGAAGGGATATAGAAGGTTTCATTGGCACGATGTTACATTTCTCATGTTCCAAAGTCCCTGCCATTAAAGCCAGTCTTGGAAAAGATGCAACTGGGTTCCAGAAAGCTTACAAAATGCCAGTGTCCAATTTGTGTTGTATATTGCAGCTATGTATAGTTCAGTATCAGAGCTAGTTAAAGTGTATCTGTCCATATGTGTAATCCAACATGGCCATGAACCATGTATGCAATGGGGACATTTATATCACCAAAATTATAGTGATCACTGCAAACTTACTAAGATGGCTATCACCAAAAACCAAACAATTTACAGATAAATGATTATAGAAATTACAGTGTTTATACAAGTCTGAAACATCCTTGGTAAACTTATTTTTCTTTTAATTACTTTTATAGTGGAATTTAAAAAAATTCTTTCTAGTGTATGAAAAAAAATATTTTTTTGTTGTTGTTAATTTTGTATCCTGCATCTTTCCTTGTGTATACCAGTATGCATTCACTTGCTTGCTTAGAAAAGTGTTTAAACCTGGGTACGTTGCAATCTTTTTGAAGTTGGTATCTTTGTTTAAACTGTGGAATGCTTATGTATCTGTATGCGTATACTAGTGGTCCGGTGCACGAAATTCATTCACTTGGGTGATCCCCCAGCCTAGCCTGTGCCTTGTTGCAGTGCAGGAGCCCTGTGATCCATAGCCCCAAAGAGGTAGGCCCCGCCCACCCATCCAGGGCTCCTTAATGGATTACCCCAAAGAGATAGGCCGGACCTTCGGGGGTCCAGCCTCCTTGCCTTGCAGAGTCTTGGGACCCTTAGGCCTCTCCACGGGAAGCCCTGCATTGCGGCTCCACCCCTGTCCTCAATGCAAGTCCCTGCCTACCTGTGCCAGCTGCACACACAGCCTCCAGCTGATCAGTCATTATACCTAAGGGCATCCTAACCATTTGCATATTACCCTTTTATTAGTATAGATATAAAAAGATAAAAATAGTTGGCTGTTTTTATTTTGTTATTATTTTTTAAATTTAATCACATGTAGAGTAAAAATTCAGCGTGTTTTAGTCCCAGTAGACACATGTATTTGAATTTAGTATATTACTCTAACCATTATAATACAATATCCCTAAATACCAATTCAGCCACCTTTTATCATTCTTTAAAAAGTGTCCAGCCCTGCCTAGCCCACTTTGGTTGCTAAATCAATTCCAGTTTGGGGTGCATATGGAAGGCATCTTATGGCTGTTTCTCACATCAATTTTTCCCCCTCTCTCAAAAAATCAGTAAAAACTTTTCTATTCGTGAGGTTTTAAAAAGTGCCTAAAGTCATTGGTTTTTCAAGTGTTTTTTTAAACATAAAATGTTTTATTTTTTTTTGTGGAGGAATTAAACATGTCACAGTAAAAAAATATACTTTAGCCTTAGTAATTTTTGAAAGAAGTATAGGCAATAGACTCATTTAGAAATTTGTCTGTATCTTAAATATTAACATTGTTAGATCATAACAATGGAAATGTTATTTTATTAAAAGCATATCTGTTCCTAATAATTCAGAAAGAGTATATAATTTTTTTTTTTTTTTAAAAAGCTGCTGATTCCCGTCACTGGGGGCTGGAGCTATTCAGGCTCAGCCATCTGGTATGTGGATGATTGAATAAATTTGTAATCCCTCAAACCACACCCCTCCCACCCCCCCAAAAAAAAAGAAGTATATAATTGTTGAATAATGCAGTTTTGAATTTGCAGGTCCTTTAATGTTGATGTATTCTTAATACATGCATATAGTACTATAAATGTATTTTATGAATTTCTTAACATATTTATTGTATAAAAATATGCCCTGGCTGGTGTTTTTCAGTGATAATAGCACTGGACTTTGGACTGGAGGGTCTCAGGTTTGATTTCTGGAATATGTACCTGGGTTGCAGGATCAATTCCTGGCCCTGGTTGGGTACATGTGAAAGGCAAACAACAGATGTGTCTCTTTCACATTAATGTTTCACTATCTAGATCTATCTCTTTCTCTATTTTTGTCCTCATCACCACTCAGAAGTCAATGTGGATGTTGACTACATAGGAGTCAGCACTACATTGTTCAAGGAAGGGTCAATTATATTTTAAAATCAAGATCTTTACTTCTCTTGTCTTAGATTTGTAAAGGATAATAGCAATGTTGACTATATTTACTTATTAAAAATTTGTCCATATCTTTGAAAGTTTTCTAGACTAAGTATATATTTGATGAAATAATAAATCTGTAGCTTTATGACAGTGAAATAACATCAGTTTGAAATAATTTTCTAACTTTAGGGATTCAACAAATTTTTATAATATCACTAAAGACCCGATGCACGAAATACATGCAAGGGGCTTGGCCCCTTGATGCCACAGCTTTATTCTAAATGATGTCTGGTCTAATTTGCATATTATGCTTTTATTATTATAGATTTGTTGATACCTTGTTATTTGGAAAAATACTTTTATTTTATTAGCTATTATTCCAAAACAAAGCTGTTCTGGTTTAAAGAATAATCAGTTAATAAATTAGCACTTTCACATATGTTTTTATAATAGAAACTAAGTTATTAATATCTAAATACTTATATATAACCTAAGTTCAAGTATGTATTAGTATTAGTTTATTTATTTATTACTTAAAAAGTTAACTTAACCAAGTCATCAGTTTTTTTTTTTACTATATAGAGAATTTCTATTTAAAGGTTTATCATTTTTTCATGAATATTCCTTTTTTTTTTTACTCTTTAGAAGAAGTATCATTTTGCAAAAGAAGCCTATGAACAACTTTTACAGACAGAAAACCTACCTGCACAAGTAAAAGCAACTATTTTACAACAGTTAGGTACATAAAAATTTACTTTTTAGTATATATTATAATAATTTAGAAAAGTGTGGGATGCAAGAAAATGATTTTAACTTCCAATTTAAAAGTCAATTTTTATTTAGAATTCTGTGTTTTAGGATTGTGACACGTATTATTTTAAAGTTGCACTTAAAATGAATGCTTTGTTATAAATTTGTTCTCTTTCTTTTGTCCAGAATTGGTATATATTTACATCTAAGGTTTAGCACAATTCATCAAAGTGATTCTAAATATAGTGCTTCAATGCAGCTAATTCTTTCAAATTCTGTTTATATCCTGGTACTTTCCCTTCTGAAGGATGCTTGAATACTTGCATATATGTGTTTAGCAGTCTGTGAACTTAATTGAATTAAAATAATTTGTATAGCCAGTAAGTGGCTTTTAAAATTTCACCTAAAAATGAAAGAATATTCTGTATTTTATGTTTATTATATTTTTAATAGATGTACTAAAAGAGAAAAATGTGATGTCCAAAGTTATTTTTATACTTAGTATTCTCCCCAGTAATTCATATTTTTGGTTATCATTTCTAGATTTAATATTTGGGTTAATATTTATTTGTTTGCTTTTCTTTCAGTTTTTATTTGGTCTTGATTAAATAATTTCTAAATTTTAAACAAAATTATGAGTGATAATGAGTATTTTTATAATTATTTTATTTATAATTGTAAACATAATTAAACAGTTTGCCTAAGTGGCATTTTTGCAGAGGTATTTAAATACACTTGAATTGACTCATTTGTGAAAAATTGGATTCTATTTGTATTAAATGATTAATATTCTTTCATAACAATCTTTTCATTTTGTTTGTAGCTGTAATTCTAAACATTAGACTGCTTTTAAGTTTTTCAGCCTATATTCACTTAGATTTCAATATAGCTGTAGAGTTTTTCTGTTGGGTGTTTTTATTCTTGGTGAAATGTTAATGAAAATAACCAGTGATTTATCTTTGATTATGTAGTTATCTTTTCCTTAGAAATAAATATTGGTTTGCTAGATTTTCAAAAATATTTAATCTTGTTGTTTTGTTAATCCTCATGGAACATTTTTTTTCGACTAATTTTTAGAGATAGTGGGAGGGGTTGGGGAGAGGCAGAAAGAAAAACATGAATCCTTGTGAGAGAGGCACATCATTTAGTTGCTTCTTTCATGCAACCCAACAAGATCATGGATCAGAGCCTGAAATTAGTTATTTGTTCTTGACCAGAACTGAACCTGTGAACCTTCAGTTCCGTGGATGATGCTCTAATCACTGAGCAAAACTGGCTAGGGCAAAAATACTTTAACCTTTAAAGGTATAGTAAATTAATAATATTTATATTAATTGGTTTATAAGTTGGACTTCTCTAATTTAAATTTAGGTTCTAATCTACTTATTGCACATTCATTGCCTGAAATTAGTTAATTTTTTTTCTCTGTTCTTTATAAGACCTTGATAGCTTTCATTGTATTTTTTTTTTCTGTGAGATATTGGAAGTTTGATCAAAGGTAAATAAAAATGTACTGAAAGAGTATTTTAATTGGTGTTATTCATGGTATTTTTAAAGCTAATAGAATAGTTGAATTATGGGTAAATGCTCATAATTTTAAAATTATAGGATGGATGCATCATAATGTGGATCTACTGGGAGACAAAGCCACCAAGGAAAGTTATGCAATTCAGTATCTCCAAAAGTCATTGGAAGCAGATCCTAATTCTGGCCAGTGTTGGTATTTCCTTGGGAGGTGAGACCAGACCCTTGGATTATACTACTTAAAGTTGACTTAAAATCCAAAATATTAAATCATGTAATATAACCTGGTCAGTAATATTTTATTTAAAATACATTATAGTAAAAAGTCTTGGGGGACTAAACTGGGTCTCTTAAATTTGGTGCTTTTACTGAAAAATTATTTTGGTTATTAGTTTCTGTTTTCACATTGATCGATTTGAATTATTGTTATTTGAATTATTGCTCATTTTAATGACTCAAAAAAGTTTTAAAGAATCTTATAAGATAGTAATCATTAGTATTTTTTATTCAGTATTTAAATTATGTTTCCCCAGTTTCTGTCACTTTTAATATATTCATTTTTATAAATTATTTTTATTCTGTCTGATGATTATCAGTAACCCTATAGAAAAGTTCATTTTACAGCTCAAGATCTCAATTTTCATTTCACTTATAAATGAAAGAATTTGGGTGATATTGATCAAACCTTAATTCAAGATTATAAAGATAATTCAATTCTAGTGCTTGACTAATTAAAAAAAAAATAAGAATACATCATTGACAATTATGTGGAAGTGTATGATGAAGTGTAATTGAAATTTAGTTTTATTGTTTTTAGATATCTTATTTTTTTAATTCTGTAAATCATCTGGAATTTGTCTTCCTTTGAGTTATTCCACTAAGCACAATATCCTTTAGGTCCATCATGTTGTGATAGATACCAAGATTTCCTCCTTTTTTATGGCTGAGTTATGTTACATTATATGCATGTTATACTTTTATCTATTCATCTATTGATGGACACTTGTTTGTTTCCATATTGTGACTATATTAAGTTTTATATATTAGAATTTCTACTACTGTAGATTAAATGAGTATGAATCTGGATATTTTATTTGTTATAGCTCAGGATTTAAAATTTATAGCCTGATAAAATATACATAATATAAGGAATTGTTTTTAACTACAGCCATATATGTCCAAGATATAATGAAGTATGTTTAGAAATAATACACTTTTTCATGTCTTTGAGAATAGCAATCTTTTATGGAGGGCTTTTTATAATTTTCTGAATTTAAAACATGACGTGTGCTTGTATTTTTTTAAAAATTTATTTTATTTCTTTATTGATTAAGGTATCACATATTTGTCCTCATTCCCCCATTCCCATCCCAAACCTCTCGCCATACTTTTAATCTTGTTAGGAAAATTTACTGGATATACAGAAAACTTTTGATTTCTCAAATAGAAGATATTAACTCTTTCTGAGTTTGGGATTATCATTTTAGACAGTAATTATTTTTAGTCTGTTAAATTTTTCTATGCTTCTGTTGTTCTTACTCTTACTATAGAGAAAATCAAGTTTTTTTAAAAAAAATATATTTTAGAACTTATTAAGGTTTCAAATAAAGATTTTATTGTTAATAAAATTTATTGGGATTTGATGTCAGATACTTATTACTTTTGTGTTTAAGTATCTAATGCATAGATACTTAATATTGTGTATTGATTCAGGTGTATATAGGGTGTTCCTTCCAAAATGTAGTATAAAATAGGATATTATGTTTAGATAATTTATTACTGTTTTTCCTTTCCATATATGCATTTTGGCAAAATGTAATTGCTTTAATTATTAGTGGAATACTTCATATATATGTTCGTGGCTATCTGACTGTGCCTATTATATATATATATATATATACATACATACACATACATACATATATATATATTTCTCTTTCCTTTTACAGGTGCTATTCAAGTATTGGGAAAGTTCAGGATGCTTTTGTATCTTACAGGCAGTCTATTGATAAATCAGAAGCAAGTGCAGATACATGGTGTTCTATAGGGTAAGGCTTGTGCACATAAGAGTAACAGCATTTCAGTAGATACATAAATTCACTGAAATACATTAAGTATACGGTGTATTAATGTAATACCCAGTCATTTTAGACAATCTGTTTTTTGTTTCTCTTTTCAGTGTGCTCTATCAGCAGCAAAATCAGCCTATGGATGCTTTGCAGGCATATATTTGTGCTGTACAATTGGACCATGGGCATGCAGCAGCTTGGATGGACCTTGGCACTCTCTATGAATCCTGCAGTCAACCTCAGGATGCCATTAAATGCTATTTAAATGCAACTAGATGCAAAAGTTGTGCTAATACTTCTACACTTGCAGGAAGAATTAAGTTTCTACAGGTAAAAATTTTAAGTAGCATGTTTCTCAAGACCCATTTCAGTGTGATAACTGGTAGAAAGAGGGTGGCTGGAAAGTTTGTATATTTTTGTTTTGATGTCAAGAATTTGTTTTTATAATTTTAATATTTTGTGATATTTTACTTTTTATTTTAGTTAAGATATGTAGAATTTAAAATGCTCTTTGCACATATGCTTTTTGATGCATCTTAATTTGCATGATTTTTCAGTTTGTTTTAACATTTTTAGAAAAGGACAATTTTTTATTTAGTTTTGCTTGAAATTTCATGAGAGAATATCGAAGAGAGTTGAGTAAAAATCAGAACTTAGCTTTGTCCTGGTTCACATGAGTATATCCTAGCCGCCCTCTTTATACTTAGCATATATCTAAAACCTCACAATTAAAAACTGTTTACTTTATAAAAATAAGTACCTGTAACATTCAGGAAAAGTTAGTGGACTTACTTTAATAGGCCTGTGTTAAATTTGCTTTCTACATAATTTTTCCTAGGCTCAGTTGTGTAACCTTCCACAAAGTAGTCTACAGAATAAAACTAAATTACTTCCTAGTATTGAGGAGGCATGGAGCCTACCAATACCTGCAGAGCTTACTTCCAGGCAGGGTGCCATGAACACAGCACAGCAGGTGAGAAGTTGGGTTCTGTTCTGTAGATGCCCAGCTTTAAGGGTTCTTTTCAATCTGTAGTGGTCAAAGTTACATAACTAAGAGCAGGATTGGCATTTTGAAAAAAACAAACAAAAAACTTTCAAATTTAATTGGAAAGGGATTTAGATAAAAATAATGACTTCCTCTAGTGTGGGAGGAATCTTGGCATAACCTTTTAAAACCTTAAAGTTTCTCATTATTTTTTGAAGGGATTTCTTAAGGGACTATTATACTGACTTATCAAATTGAAAAAAAAACAAACTTTTTCCATAGAAGGTACACAATTCTCTTGGTGACTCCTTGGACTTTGTTTTTAAATAATTGTATTATATGGTGTTCACATAGTTTTGGAAATAATGTAGCTAAAAATGTATTATAATTGGTAAGAATGAATTATGAATATGTAGAACCATATTTTTTGTCTTATTCTGTAATCCTTAGGCTTCTAAAAGTCATCATCCAAAAACTGAACCTGTATTAGGCCTCAGTCAAACACCAATTTTACAGCAACCCTTGCCAGTACAAATGATTCCTTCTAGCCAAGTAGATGGTCTCTCCAGTCCTGCCAAGAAGAAAAGAATATCTAGTCCAATAAAGGTATCTGTAAATTTTAGAGAAATGAAAATTTCCAATCACAAATAAAGCTTTTGCCCTGGTCAGGAAACTCAGTTGGTTAGAGCATTGTCCCAATATGTTAAGACTTCTGGTTTGACCTTTGGTCAGGGCAAATCAATGAATCAATGAATCAATGAATGTTTAAATAGTGGGACGAAAAGATGTTTCTCTTTCCCTCTCCATATATGTCTTCCTTATCTTCGCCCTTTCCCTGTTCATCCTCTTCTCTCTAAAATCAAGGAAATTTTTTTTCTAAATGAAATTTTTAAGTATTCTGAAGTGTTACTTCCCTTATAATTTAAACTTGTATACAAGGTGAAAAGTTATTCAGTTATTGGCAGTATGTTCTGCTGAGAAGTTGTATTATCATTTAAAACAAGAACTATACTTTTATGTTCATCAAATCATTTTACTCATTTTTCTGTTTTTATAAACTTAATACTTTTTTCACCACATTTTGCTAACATTGTAATAAATTAAATTTTGTAGATGAGGAAACACCATGTTAGTTCTTACAGCCACTATTTAGTAGAGATTTCTTAAAGTGGACAATGGTTAAATTCATAGGTTTCCAATTTGACTATTCACTTAAAATTATTTTTAAATGATTTTAAAACATTAGTCCTATGTATAAAAATTCTCCAGTTCTTAGTCTCATGATTTCTCACTATTCATTAAAGTTAAAGTTTGAATTCAACCATATATTTTTCAGAATTAAATTTTTTTTCAGAATAGTTTTGAGAACTCCACCAGTGGTCAGACTGTTTCACACACTTCACTATAGCAACAGGTTAATGCATGGTATTTCAAATTATAGGTATGAAATTATAGTCTGTTAATAGTTTTCCCTCGATATTCAAGCAGTAATAGAACCCTTTCAGCTATTTTTTAATACTATGTCTATTCCATTTTAAGCGGCAATAAGCATAATGAGCCCACATTTTTAAGGGCAAAAAAACAAAAACAAAAACACACACTGTAGACTTTATAAGTTTTTTATTCTTTTAATGAATTAATCCACTCATGTGTTTGAAATGTAAAAATTAGTAACAGATGGGTATTTGATTTAAAGGCTCCTTATAGTTCCTATCTCTAGCCGGTTAATATCCCTTTTCATCCAATAATCAATGTAAATAGCTTTTTTTTTAATGTTTTAATTTTTAGAGATAATATTGGACATGTACAAGAAAAAAAACCTTATGTTATAGATCCTTTCCTATCTTTGTTGTACAATAAATCTAGGTTGAATGTTATGTATAAATATTGCTGAATTTGAAAGATTTGTGTATCTTCTAGAACTTTTTTTTCTATATGATACTACTTTTATAGCTACACAAGAGGCTTGTTGCAGGTAGGGTACCTAGGCCTGGCTGCCTCCTGGTAGTCAGCACATGTCACAGTGAACAATCTTGAATTCCTGTTGGGACAGTTTGCATTACTATATAGGACTAGAGGCCTAGTGTACAAAATTTATGCAGGGGAGGTTAGGGGAAGGGTCTCCCTTATCCCAGCCTGCACCCTCTCCAATTTGGAACCCCTTCTGGGATGTCTGACTGCCAGTTTAGGCTCAATCGGACAGGACCTAAACCTGTAGTCAAGACATCCCTCTTGCAATACAGGACTGCTGGCTCCTAACTGCTCACCTGCCTGCCTGCCTGCCTGATTGCCTCTAACTGCTCCCCTGATGGCCTAATTTCCTCCAACTGTCTCATTTCCCCCAACTGCCTCTGTCGGCTTTTTGCAGGCTGTAAGTACAGGTGCTCGGGACCAGAGGTGGGTTAGCTTTGCATCTCTGTTTGTAAGCCTTCCTGTTTCCCAATCAACTGCTAAATTAATTTCTTAAAGTGAGGGCCTCCTATTATAGCACTGTGCTCCTGCCAGGCTCTGATCTCATGGAACTCTCCAGCCTGGCCTTTCCTGGGCCGGCTGTGTCAGGAAGGACATCTGGAAGATCTTTAGGAAGATGTCTAGTCTAATTAGCATATTACCCTTTTATTAGTATAGATAATATTACTTTTTCCCTCCTTGGAAACTGCTGTTTATTTAACTACATAACTGCAAATAATATTGCTTTTAATCTGTTTTGTTATAATCCTATACTGTATAATAAAAGGCTAATATGCAAATCAACTGAGTGGTAGAATGAGTGGTCACTAAGATATGCACTGACTACCAGGAGGCAAATTCTCAATGCAAGGAGATGACCACTGGTGGTCAGTGTGTCAGAAATGGCTTAGGCAAGCGAGCTCAGCTATTATGGCTGGAGCCTCTCGCTTCTCCGTGGCAGTCAGACATCCCCCGAGGGCTCCCAGATTGTGAGAGGATGCAGGTCCGGCTGAGAGCAATGCACGAATTGTGTGCACTGGGCCTTTAGTACATTATATGGCTTTAAGTAGCTTTATTAAGATTGTAATTACTTGCTCTAGCCAACTTGGCTTAGTGGTGGAGCATTGGTCCATGGAATAAAGTATCTGGGCTTAGTTCTAGTCAAGGACCATATACATGTGCTAAGTTACAGGTTTGGAGTGTGTGCAGGAGACAATCAGTGTGTGTTTTTCTCTGTCTCTTCTCTTCCACTCTCTAAGCATCAATGAAAATAGGTCCTTGGGTGAGAATTAACAACAATAACAAAAAGATTGTAATTTTTTTCTACACAAAATATATTTAACTTAAAACACATAAATAACCTTCTTTAGATGAATTTATGGTTTTTACCATTTTCCTTAAGGGACTTAATCTTTGCATCAGTTAGTTTTGATTAGAAATCACAATTTTGACCACATAAATGTTCTTACTTTTTTCAGTTAGGTTGCTTGAGAGTATGTTATTTCTTAGATTTAACTTTAAATTCTTTTCATTTTGTTAGCACTTGGAACAGCTACATGCAAATACAGATAATTTAAATCCAGCACAGAAGCTGATGCTGGAACAGTTGGAAAATCATTTTGTTTCAATGCAACAAGTATGTATACCATTTTTACTCCAGTATTTGTCATGTTAATTGCGTTTCTGGACTAAAATGTTACTCAGAATATTTTAATGCTCAACTTACTACATATATTCAACAGAATTTATATGTTTGAATTGAAATACTAATTAACAGAGTTTTCTTTTAAATAGACATAAATAAATTTAGAACAAAACACTGGTATTTTGCTCTTTGTCTACATAATATTTCAGGCACGTTCTATAGACTTTTTAAAAAAATATATTTTATTGATTTTTTTTTACAGAGAGGAAGGGAGAGAGATAGAGAGCTAGAAACGTTGATGAGAGAGAAATATCAACCAGCTGCCTCTTGCACACCCCCTACCGGGGATGTGCCCACAACCAATGTACATGCCCTTGACTGGAATTGAACCTGGAACCTTTCAGTCCCCAGACCGACGCCCTACCACTGAGCCAAACCGGCCTCGGCCTATAGACTTTTTTTTATCCTGTACAGTAAAGAGAAAATATGCTAATTGATCATCATGTCCTAATAAGATTGCGGTGCTCACCGCTACAAGATATTTTTGAACATGAGACAAACTACTGGACTTCCTTATGGGTGCCCTGTCCCCTCAGCCCCACCAGCAGTGAATTTTCATGCAATCAATACTTTTTAAAAAATTCATATCTCAATATATGATTATTAGTTTTAGATCATATGTTCTTGGGAAGCAGGCCTAAGCCAATAGGTGGGCATCCTGCAAGGGTCACAAGACTATGAGAGTGCACAGGCTCGGCTGAGAGTCCCCCTTGTGTGCATGAGTATTTTTATGCACAAGGCCTCAAGTTATTTTATAATTAATAATTACCCAGATTGTGGTGGAGCTGTTTTAACAATAGTTTGATAGCAAAGATTTGGCATAAATGTAATGGAATGGAAATTTTAAGTCCACTGTAATAATGGAAAATATGATCTTTATATTACTGACAAAATTTTCAGCTGCTTTTTTTGTCCTTATACCATTAATAAATTTATTAAAAATTTTTTAATATAATCTTTATTGTTCAGATTATTACAGGTGTTCCTCTTTCTCTCCCATCCCCCATAGCTCCCCTCCACCTGATTCCCCACCCCACCCCATCCCTTACCCCCAGGACTATCTTCATCCATAGAAGTAAATTTTTTGTCTTAATCTCTTCCTGCACCCCTCAAACCCTTCCCCCTGAGAATCGTCAGTTCACTCCCTTTCTGTTTCCCTGATTCTATTATATTCATCAGTCCGTTCTGTTCTTCAAATTTTTTATGCACTTGATTTTTAGATACACTTGTTGGAAAGTATGTATTTGATATCTTTCTGTTGTTCATAGTTTTTACCTTTACCTTTTTCTTCTTCCTCTTCTTAAAGAATGCCCTTCAGCATTTCATGTAATCCTGGTTTGGTGATGATTAACTGCTTTAGCTTTTTCTTATCTGTGAAGCTCTTTATCTGACCTTCAATTATGAATGATGGCTTTTTTGGATAAAGTAATCTTGGTTGTAGGTTCTTGCTGTTCATCACTTTGAATATTTCTTGCCACTCCCTCTGGCCTGCATAGTTTCTGTTGAGAAATCAGCTGACAGTTGTATGGGTACTCGCTTGTAGATAAGTGTTTTTCTCTTTTTGCTTTCAAGATTCTCTCTTTGTCTTTTGCTCTTGGCATTTTAATTATAATGTGTCTTGTAGTCCTCTTTAGATTCCTCTTGTTTGGGGCTCTGAACTTGTAAGTCTATATCTTTCCCTATATCTAGGGAAAGTTTTCTGTCATTATTTCTTCCAATAGGCCTTCAATATCCTGCTCTCTCTCTCTTTTTCTGGCACTCCAAAAATCCAGATGTTGGTTTGCTTAAAGCCGTCACAGAGGCTCCTTACATTGTCCTTACACTTTTGGGTTTTCTTTCTCTGTGCCTCTGGTTGGGTGTTTTTATTTCCTCATATCCCAGATCTTTGGTTTGACTCTTGGAGTACGTTAATCTACAGTTGAGTTTCTGTATATTCTTTATTTCAGAGAGTGTTTACTTAATTTCTGGCTGGTCCTTTTCCTTTTTTTTTTTTTTTTTTTGGTATTCTCATTAATGTCCTTGAAGGTCTCTTCAAGTTGCTCAGCGGTTTTTAGAAGATTCTTGAGTAACCCTATAAATGTGATTGTGAACTCTATGTCATCCAGTAGTTTACTTTCCTCCATCTCTCCCTTTTGTGACATGCCTCTGTGTCTCTGCATTTGGCTGCCTCCCTGTGTTGATGGAGTGGCTTTGTGTGGTTGGTGACCTATAGGGGCCAGTGGCTCAGCTTCCCCAATCACCTGAGATGGTTGCTCTTCCGTATACCCCTTTGTGGGCTCAGTGCAAAGTCTTGGTTTAGTTAAGCCTTGATTGCTGTTGTGCACTTGGAGGAATTGATCTCCAGGCCCATTGGCTGTGAGGACCCGCTGTGTCTATAATGGAAGAACTGCTGTGCTGGAGAAACACTTATGGTGCAGGCCTTGTTTCAGTGGGGCTTTTGTGTTCACTAAGTCTGTCTCCTGAATGTGTCACTTATGGATGAGAGGAGTTGAAATCTGGTATCTCACACTGACCATTAGATTCACTGGCTTCTTGATTTCTAATGCGGTGCAGTTCAGTTACTGTCTGAGTCCACCCTGCAAGAGTTACAGCAAGAACCACAGTTCTCTCCCTGCTTAGAGCTTGGAGGCTTTGGAGCTGTTTGCAACAGGTTGCAAGTTTGGTAGGTTAAATTGCAATAGAGAAGGCCATTCATATGCAAAAGCTGCTGCTTGGAGTTTGGGTGTGTTTGTAGATTGTGTGGGGTGAATTCAGAGTGTCACTGGGTTAGGGTGTGGCCAACAGTGATGCCTGCAAGTGAGTAGTCTCTGCTTCTCTACTGTATCCAGTATCTTGTGTCCCAGCGCAGCAAACAACTATTCTTGCATGAAGCTCTGCAAGCAAGTCACCCTCACTTTCCAACACAATGCCAGATAGTCTAGCTTCTCTTCAGAAAATGGATTTCAGAGAGATTGGGAGCTTGGCTCTCTTCAGGTTGAAGAAAGTAAAAAACTCTGCCAGCCGGGATATGCCACCAGCCTGTATTGTGTGCGCGCTCCCGTACCTCAGTTTTTCAGTGCTTGAGCCCTGAATGCTTCTTTCTTTTTAAGTCTAGTTGTAGAGCTTCCTTTCAGCCAGCTTTCACATGGTTCTGGGTGATAGACATTTTGTCTTTTAGTTGTATTTTTTAATCAGGAGGGGAGGGGGCGGTCTTCAGCCTGGCCTGCTTCCTCTCACAGTCCGGGAGCCTTCAGGAGCAGAGGTGACCCGGTGATCAGGGGAAGGATCACCCCCATCACACCTCTGCTGCTGCCACTGCCAGTAGCACAAGCCTCAGCTGGCCTTGGTTATCTGAGCCTTGGGTGACCCTGTTGCCATCTGAAGCTTGCCTGTGTCCCAGACCAGTCTTGGGTGGCTAGGGTTCTGAGGAAACTGGAGGACTTCAGAGGCAGGCACCCAGCCTTGCCAGATGTCTCTCCCAGTGGAGCTGAGGAGACTGGGCAGCACATTCTTGTGGCTGTGGATGCCACTATCTTTGAGTGCACGTCAGTCAATTAGCACATTCCCTTTTTATTTGCTATGGGTGCCACCACCCTTCAGGGTGGGGCAGTACATTGCATATTCCTTACTATTGGCTGTATTCACTGCCATCTTTGTGATATTATGAATGTCAATTAGCATATCCCTCTTTATTGATAGCATTAGGTATGTATTGATAACATTTTCAGTCACACAAAACAGGTTTTATTTTTTGCTTTTGAACATGAGACAAACTGCTGGATTTCCTTATGGGCTAATAACTTAGTTATCAGTGCCTGCAAATTCTGTCTTCATCCAACAATCATATTCTCTGCTTAGAGTAAACAACCATATTCTCTGCTTAGAGTATGTAGTGTCTCTCAGCTTGACGTTTACTCTGTTTTGAAAAACCTTTGTCCAATGGACCAGGGCATCCTCTCCAATCTGTGGCTGCTGCTTGCACCTGCTGATGCCACCAAGAGATTGGGACCCGCAGGGGAGTGGTTAGAGTGTGATCAGGCTGGAATTACTTTAGTGTGGTAGTAAACATATTTCATCCATACAATTCACTGGTACAGTGAAAATTCACTGGAAATATAAGGGGATAAAGGGGGATGGACAGGAAAATTCTTCATTAATGATAGGTACTTGTTCTTTATCTCATGTTTTTTTAAAGAAAATGTGAATGTGGCCTCCATTTTCTCCTTAACAAATTTAAGCTAAAACCTAGAAGTATAAATGAGGTAATGTCTGGAATTCTTTACCAAGCAATGTAAATCTATGGCATTAAAGAGTACCTTGTCTTTGGAAATGACCTCAAAATGCCCTAAAAGTGTTTAAGGACAGGTAAAATGACATAGATAGAGATAGCCGTTATGAAAAGACATTTTGCATGGAAACAGACTATATTTAGTGAATGCCTGAGGAGGGGCCTGGAGTGAGGTAGAGGGGAACAATAGGGAGAAGAGATTTTGAAAAACTTAAGTAGGAAAAATGTTAACAGGGATAATGGAGAAACTTCAGATTGAGTATGTTATTGTGTTAAAGAAATCAGTCAGTTTCAAAGTTCCTACTATGTGTCCAGCCTATTGTTAAATATTAGGCATAAAAAAGAAAATGGACAGATCCTATTTCTTTCAAATGGGTGAGAGATAATTATACGAATAATCATCACACTGTGAAACTGGCATTAGGCTGAGGGCTGGCACAAATTCCCCTGATATTCTGATGGAAATAGGACAAAGAAGGATTAAGTGAGGTCAAAGTTATTGACAGATTTATATATCGACAAATCAATAGTAACATTGGTTTAGTTGGGGAAAACTGGAGGATGGCAGCAGTTGCCAGACATATATCACATTAGAAAGACAAAAGAAGCTAGGACATTCTCTTCCAGGACATAGTAAGGCAAAAATATTCATAACTGCCTTCTGGTACAATGTGCTTGCAAGGAATTTATTTTTTCCCTGGTAATTAAAATCACACACTCAAGCCCTTACAGTTTTGTGAGTATATTATATATTCAAGACAGCAATTAAGCTTGGAATTATCAAGTGTGTGATTATAAGGAAAGGGTTAAATGAAAGGGGATGCTTCAGACATGGGATAGAAGCTTGAAATACACCATTTTTCTACTTGCAAAAACTCTGAATTTTCAAGCTTCCCCCAAATTCACGTGTGTATGTCTATGAGCACAGGCAGATCTATTTTGGTAGAGTTGAAAAACAATTTTTTAAAAATTATGCTCTTTCTGTATTGCCCCTTAGGATTGTGTGGCAAAAGCTGCAACAGAAGACTGACCGGCAGCATTGTTTATGCCACTTTCCAAGCCACCATCTCTGAGCCTGGGTCACCTCTGGGGACTGGAATTAGGGGTGTGGGGGCCCGGGAATCTGGTTCCTCTGAAAACTTTGCTGCACATGGGAGTAAAAGCAGACTGGTGGTGGCAGCTGCAGAGGCTGCCACAGATGATGATTTTAAAAAGAAAGCAGCAGTGAGTTATAGGAGCATCATAGCTCCAAGGTACAGGTTGGAGTTTTCGGGGTGTGGCAGAAGTGCTGAGTGAAAGAGGGTCATCTGGGACCCAGCAGCTGCTCCTGAGGTGCTAGCGGGATGTTTGTTTGGCTGTGCTCAGAGCCATTCAGCTCAAGTGATCAACTCCAGTCACAACAGTAATCCATCTTCCCATAGCCAAAGGAGATTGGATTGCCATGACCATTCTATTGTTTAGATACTTACCAGGAGCTCTGGAGTCAACAGAGCCACCAAGTCCTCACTCTTGGTTGCTGCTTCCCCTAACGGGGCTGACAGTACTGGACACTTCAGTGGAGGACTGATGGAACTTGGTGCCACCATTTTTGTCACCTAGTGATGGTTAATTTGCATATTACCCTTTTATTAGCTAGGATGGCCTGTCGCTAGAGAGAGAAAGCCAGGCATTGCTATGTGATGTCATTACCCAGCACCTACAGCCATCATTTCTGGGCTGGGCTGGGCTGGGCTGGGCTGTGGGCTACAATTTTTGTCCCAGGGGTATCAGTAGTGTCAGCTGAAATTGGTGGACTTGTTCTGGGGTGGTGGTAGGGCCTGTATCCCAATGGGGAAAGCCAACTGTTGCTTTTTCGGTGCCAGGTCTGTGCTGCCATTTCCCTACTAGTAAATGGCAGGTGTATGTCATGGTAGCTTCTGTGTTGAGCATAGAAGAGAGGTCAGAGAGAGGGACTCTTAGCATATTAGTCTTTTATATGTATAGACTCGTGAACCACTAGTAGCCTGATGTACTAAATTCATGCACATTATAAGGGAATGAATTAGAGGAAATATTTTAATACTGCTATTTGCCCTTTTTATATAGTAGTAGTAAAATGTATATGAAAATCTCCCTTCTGTCAGTCTGAGGTACACCACAGGACCCAGAGCTCATGTACCTCGATGTTGTGTGAGATCTAGATCCAGCCAGCCCCACCCCTGTCAAATTCCGCAGGGTAGGGGGCACGTCCTCAGGTCCCCTATCATGGCATTGCGTCGTAGTCCCAGTTCTATTAGCCTGGTCTCAAGTCCCTTGGTCCCAGCGTGAGGACACGATGATGTGATGACCATTTGATTAACTCTTTATTATATAGGCCAAGAGGCCGGGGACACAAAATTCATATACATGGGGTTGCCCCTCAGCCTGGCCTGCACCCACTTGCAATCCAGGATCTGTTGAATAGTCTCTAGGCCTCACCAGCAATCAGGGCCCATCATGGCTTTCCTTCTGGATGCCACCCCTGCCACTGTTACTGCTTGCCATCTCTGCGATGCTGCCTCCTGACTCCCCTGTCACTATTCATCTTTCTGCAGGCAGCAGGTATGGGATGTGATCACTTGGCTTGCCTGGGCCTCCACCTCCAGGGCAATCTCTGGTTGGCCTCACACACCCACCACAGTGTCGCTGACATGTGGCCTGAACCTTTCTCTGTGCGGTGATCTATCTGAGGCCCCAGGTCAATCGCCTCAGAGGAAGGCCCTGCGTATCCAGCCTGCATCTGTGGACTGATTGCGAGCCCTTTCCCCCATTTATCACCTTCCCAGCCGGTGGCTTGGGCTTCCCTCTTTGGATGATTGATTAGTCGCCCCCCCCATCAATTGCCCAGTGGAGGGTGGCCTAGGTCTCCCTCTATGGGATGATCATGGGGTGATGTACCCTAACCAATTGCACCTGCCTTGGCTGCCCTGACTCTAGTGCATGTCATAGCATGGTTGTCCAGACATTTGTTTTGCTCTTTGATTGTTTGGTCAATCTGAACCTTTTTTTCTGCTGCTTTTATTATAGACTAGTGGCCCGGTGCACAAAATTCAGGCACTGAGGCAGGAGAAGGGGTCTCTCAGCCTGGCCTGCCCCATCTCACAGTCGAGGAGCCCTCATAGTATGTCCTACTGATGGTTTAGGCCCGTTCCCCTAAGCCACAGTTGGCCTCCCTCTGCGGGAGGCAACCGGCAATCAGGTACTTCCTGAAGGCAGCACGAACTCCTTCCTTATTTCTTTCTTCTGTGATTGAAGAATAGGGAACTAAAAGGTGGAGCAGAATTGTGGACAGGCCTGGGGCTTTTGTAGGCAGCGGAAAGGGAGAGAGGGCTGGAGAAAGTTTAGACATGGTTTCCTTCAATTGTCCTCCCTTCTTCTGGGCCCCTCCCTCCATTTTTTCCTTTTCAAGGACTGACCAGAGCCCAGCAATGGTGGTGTTCAGCCCCCTCACTTTTCAGTTGAACATACAGCCGCCTCACATTCCAAGCGGGGCTGTTTTCAAGTTGCTTAAGTGCTGGGAACTCATGCCTCACAGTGTCTCCCCTCGTGCTCTCCTCCTTGGATCTGTTACAAACTTCACTGAGACACTGAAGCAGCTCTGCCCTGGTAGTTCTACACCGGTTCCGTCCAGGCCCTGCCGGGCACTCTTCCTTGAGCTCTCTGGGTCTATAATCTGTGCTCAGGGAGGTCGCCCAGAGCCCATTCCCCCTGGCAGATGGGGAAGGTGGGCTAGCTTGGAGAGCTGGAGGAAGATGGCAGAGTAAGAGTTGGTGTGAACCGGTGGCTGCTTGGCCAGACTTCCTAACCTCCCCACAGGGCCCAGGCTGGGCCCCTTCCCCATGGTGGGAAGATCCTGCTGAGGTCTCCCTGCACCCAGTCTTGTATACCTACCATAAGTCTTACTTGACCATGGTGTGTAATTCTTTTTATCCATGTTGAATTTCTTTTGCCTGCATGTTGATGAGGACTTTTGCATCTATGATAATGAGATAGTTTGGTCTGCAGGTTTTTTTTTTTTTTTAAATAGATCTTTATTGTTCATATTATTACAAATGTATTCCTCTCTCCCTCCTTTATTACTCCCCTCCACCAGTTTCCCACCCCATCCTTTGCCCTTCCCCCATCCCTCATTGTCCTCATGCATAGGTGCACAGTTTATGTTCAGTCTCTTCCCACGTCCCCCTCTCCCCTTTTCCCCAAGAATCATCAGTTCACTCCCCTTCCATACTTCTGATTCTATTATATTCAACAGTTACTATAGTTCATCAGATTTTTTTTTTAATTTCCTTGGTTTTTAGATTCACTTGATAGTTACGTATTTGTTGTTCATAATTTTTATCTTTGTTTACTTTCTCTTTTGAAAGAACCCCCTTCAGCAATTCATACAATTCTGGTTTGGTGGTGATGAACTCCTTTAGCTTTTTTTTATTAGTGAAGCTCTTTATCTGACCTTCGATTCTGAGTGATAGCTTTGCTGGATAGATTATCTTTGGCTGTAGGTTCTTACTATTCATCACCAAGAATATTTCTTGCCATTCCCTTCTGGCCTGCATGGTTTCTGTTGAGAAGTCAGCTGACAATCGTATAGGTGCTCCTTTATAGGTAACTACCTTCTTTGCTCTTGCTTCTTTTAATATTCTCTCTTTGTCTTTTGCTCTTGGAATTTTTATTATGATTTGTCTTGGTGTGATCCTTTTTGGATTTCTTTTGTTTGGAGTTCTGTGCGCTTCCTGGACTTGTAAGTCTAATTCTTTCCCCAGGTGGGGGAAGTTTTCTGTCACTATTACTTTCAGTATGTTTTCGATATCTTGCTCTCTCTCATCTTCTGGGACCCCCATAATTCTGATGTTGGTTTGCTTGAAGTTGTCCCAGAGGTTTCTTACATTATCTTCAATTTTCTGGATTCTCTTGCCTTCTAGCTTCTGTGGAGGAGTGTCTTCTGGCTCTTTATGTTCCAAATCTTCGACTTGATTCTTGCGATCTTCCCTTCTGTTTTTAGGACTCTGTAAAATATTTTTTTATTTCAGACAATGTATTCTTTATTTCTTATTGATCCCTTATCATTTCTTGTTGATCCCTTATCATATCTTGATGACTCCTTATTAATTCTAGTTGATCTCTTTTCATATCCATAGGTCTTATCCATCTTTTCTAGGAAATTCTTGAAAAACCTTATAAGCGTAGATTTGAACTCTATATCCAGACGCTTTTTGTCCTCCATTTCTTTCGTTTGTGATCTATTTCGTTGTCGCATTTTGCAGTTACAGATGGGGTGGGGTTTCAGGGTGGAGCCTGCAGCCTTGGCTTCCGTCAGCCCCGCCCTGTGCGGGTCCTTCAGTGCTCACTGCCGGCGCCTCTGAGAGAAAGGTGCCCTCGATTTTCGCCTGCTGCCAAACAGTCTATGCTCTCCCCCAATGAGCCCGGTATTGGGGTTCAGTTCAGTTGGAAGTGGAGTTGGAGGTGGCGTTCAGAGCAGTCTGGTGCCTCTGTCTTTTTCCCGCCAGGTAATCCCATGGTACAGCCGGCTGTCCCTTCTCTGAGCGCACTGCGCACCGCCGCCGGGACCCCCTTTCATCGCTTCCCCGGGTTCCCCCTTACAGCCCAGCTCTCTATGGCTGAGCCTGGGTCCCCGGGGTCTGGCCTAGGCTTGGGTTCAGAGCAGTCAGAACTGGGGCCCAGCATAGTCGGAGTTTTATCTCCTTCCCGCTAGGGAACGCCGGCCAGGCACTCGGCTGCCCTCCTCTCCCGCTCCGTCCTCTCCACGCCACGTCTCCGTACCTTGGGCTTTTCCAGCTCCTCCGCGCTTCCTTCTGGTTTTCTCCTTGCTTCTCGTTGTAGAATTTCCAGTCTGTCAACTTTCCTGTAGTTCTGGGTAATGTCCGTTTTATATTTTAGTTGTATTTTATTGAAATTGTTGTGTGAGGCTGCAGCTAGGTATTCACCTGGTCGCAGCCATCTTGGATTGGGCCATAGGTGCACAGTTTTTGTTCAGTCTCTTCCTGCACCCCCACTCCCCCTTTCCCCGAGAATTGTTAATTCACTCCCCTTCCATACCTCTGATTCTATTATATTCAACAGTTAATATTGTTCATCAGATTTTCTAATTCCCTTGGTTTTTAGATTCACTTGTTGATATTATGTATTTGTTGTTCATAATTTTTATCTTTATTTTCTTCCTCTTCTTAAATAACCCCCTTCAGCAATTCATATAATTCTGGTTTGGTGATTTTGAGCTGCTTTAGCTTTTTTTTTATTTGTGAAGCTCCTTATCTGGCCTTCGATTCTGAGTGATAGCTTTGCTGGGAAGAGTATTTCAGGCTCTAGGTGCTTGCTGTTCATCACCTTGCATAGTTCTTACCATTCCCGTCTGGCCTGCATGGTTTCTGTTGAGAAATCAGCTGACAGTCGTATAGGTGCTCCTTTATAGGTAACTACCTGCTTTTCTCTTACTGCTTTTAATATTCTCTCTTTGTCTTTTGCTCTTGGCATTTTAATTATGATGTGTCTTGGTGTGGTCCTCTTTGGATCCTTTTTATTTGGGGTTCTGTGCGCTTCCTGGACTTATAAGTCTAATTCTTTCACCAGGTGCGGAAAGTTTTCTATTACTATTTTTTTTTTCATTATGTTTTCGGTATCTTGTTCTCTCTCTTCTCCTGGGACCCCCATAATTCTGATGTTGGTTCTCTTGAAGTTGTCCCAGAGGTTTCTTACATTATCTTCAACTTTCTGGATTCTCTTTTCTTCTTGCTTCTGTGGAGGAGTGTCTTCTGGCTTTTTTGTTCCAAATCTTTGACTTGATTCTTGTGATCTTCCATTCTGTTTTTAGAACTCTGGATAATATTTTTTATTTCAGACAATGTATTTTTTACTTCTAGTTGATCCCTTTTCATATCCTCATAAATCTCATTTATTTTATCGGACTTTCCTAGGAAATTTTGAAAAACCTTACATGCGTGGTTTGAATTTATATCCAGTTGTTTTTTGTCCTCCATTTTTTTCATTAGTCATCTGTTTCCTTGGCTCTGCATTTTCGCAGCTTCGCTGAGTTGGTAGCCTTAAAAGCCTCTGTGCTCAGCTTGGATGGGGCAGAGTTTCAGGGTGGAGCCTACAGTCTTGGCTTCCTGTCAGCCTCACCCTATGTGGCTCCTGAGTCTCAGTGTTCCTTAGGGTCCTTTGGTACTCACTCAAGCACCTCTGAGAGAAAAGTGCCCTCGAGTTTCGCCTGCTACTAAACAGTCTAGGCTCTCCCCCAATGAGCCTGGAATTGGGGTTCAGTGCAGTTGGAAGTGGGATTGGAAGTGGGGTTTGGAGCAGTCTGGAGCTTTTTTCTCCTTCCCACTAAGGCAATCCAGTCAACCGTCTGTTCTCTGCGTGCAATGTGCGCGCCTCCGGGACTTCCTTTCGCCGCTCCCCTGAGTTTCCACCTTACAGCCCCCCTCCCTCTGTATAAGCCTGGAACCCCAGGGTCTGGCCTAGAACTGGGGTTCAGTACAGTTGGAACCGGGGCTCAGCACAGTCCGGAGCTTTTGTCTCCTTCCCCCTAGGACATTCTAGCAGCAGAGTCAACGGTCCATCCTCTGCGCCTAACGTGTGTGCCTCTGGGGGCTCTGCCTTTCGCCGCTCCCCTGAGATTCCGCCTAACAGCCTAGGCTCCCTCTGTATGAGCCTGGGTCCCCAGGGTCTGGCCTAGACCTGGGATTCAGTGCTGTCGGATCTGGGGTTCAGCACAGTCCGAAGTTTTTCTCTCCTTTCTGCTAGGGAATGCCAGCCAGGCACTCAGCCTTCTCCTCCTCTCCAGCTCCGTCCTCTTCGCGGGCAACATGTCTCCGTACCTTAGGTTTTTACAACTCCTGATTTTCCTTCTGGTTTTCTCTTTCCTTCTCGTTGTAGAATTTCCAGTCAGTCAACTTTCCTGTAGTTGTGGGTAATGTCCATTTTGTATTTTAGTTGTATTTTATTGAAATTGTTTTGTGAGGCTGCAGTTTACCTATGCTGCCATCTTGGTTTCTACTCTCAAGGTATTTTTAATTAGATGACTAAGAATGACTTGTGCATACTGTATATAAAACAGTTCATCACATTATTAACTGAAAAATTTCATTTCACATTACAGCAGGCTTACCCAGTTATTAAACTAATTACCTAATTCAGAAAGTATTATATTTTCTCTGTATTTCTAAGGTTCCACTTAATATGGAATTTGAAGTTAAAAATGTTAGTATATTGTTTTATTTCTAACTCTAATGTACTAGCTTTCAGGTTCTCTTGTTAAAATAGTTTGGAAGCTGAACAGTGTTTTAGTATTATAGTATTACTTTAACCAGTGTTGATACATCAGTTTATTACTTTCTCAGTAAATTAGGATTAGAATCTTCTTAGAGAAATTTATGACACCAACCAAACACAAATTTCAGGTAAAACATACATAATTCATTGTATATGAATTATGTAATTAAAACCCTATGAAAAGCTTTTTCTCTGTATTCAAACTTTTAATTTTGATAAATTGCCCCATCAGATTTATTTAACAATATCAGTATATGCTCCTAATTATGTAAGTTTGGGTAAATGTGCTATCTCTTTGCAAGTCATTTATTCGGGACACTGGTAGAATATATTTGTGAGTTATGGGGAGAGAAAATGGAAGGGTGGAAATTCATATGAGTCATTCCTTACAACACTTATATAGATTTAATAGTGTTGATGCTTTGAGGATAACTGCTGTTTACATAAAAAGTTTACTGATGAGAATAAAGGCTAAATAAATGTATTTTTTATATTAAACTTATAATACATTTTACATGAGTAATTTGTTATATTTGTGTTTATAGTTTTAGTTGGTAATGGCTGTATGTATGCTTTTTCATATATAAATTTACCAATAAATTTCTGTAAAGATGAAAATGTCTGTTAAATTCTGCTTCAGAATTTAACAAAATAAGCCTCAAGATCTTATATGAAGAAATACTACAGCAAATAATAAAAATAGAATCAGCCCAGTTTCATAATTTCCCCTCAAAGTACTACTTTAATCATTTGGTAATGGGAACTTTAAAAATGAAATTTTAGAATTTGAGATAAATTATATTACACTATGATTTTTGTGTGTGTGTGTTTGTGTTTGGTGTCTGCTTTTATTTAACATTTTTAACCTTTTGTATTGTTTGATTTGCATAATTATAGATTTAAATCTTTTTATTTATTTATTTTTTTGTTTAAAAGGGGCTTCACAAAGGTCAGAGTTCACATTTTTCAGGACCTAATGATGAACAACCTTCATTTTCCACTGGACCTGCCCAGTATCTCCAACCAGCTAGCATTGGCATTCAGAAACAGACTGGACATGGAACACAGGAAGCTGCTCTCAATCACCTCTCATCTCATTTTTCTACCTCAGGTGGACAACAAGGCACTACCTTTATCAAAGAGAGCCAGCCTTCAGGAATTAGGTCTTTGGTGCCTGAAACAAGCAGGCATGCTCAAGACATATCTAATGGCTGTGCTGTTGTCAAGGAACTTTCTGATCATGTTCAGCAGCTGACAGTAGAACCTATTTGTGGTCCTAACCATAGAAAGTGTACATCACCTAATTTACTAATATCAGACAGTCCTCATGTCTCTGTCTCATTGATTGGAAAAGCTAGTGATAGTGTGGGTACTGGAGCCTATGACAAAGCCAGTAATATTTACCCAGCTATTCATACAAAGACTAATAATTCTAATACCTCTTCCCCCTCTTCAGTAGTTTTCACTACAATACCTTTTTCAAAATCCACTGAGCAGACAACCACACACAGTGTTAGCAGCCTTAACAGTCCTCAAAATAGGTTACACACAATTAATAGAAAAGGACTAGAGAACGTACAGAGCTCTGAAAAACCAGACTTACCTTTAATTAGCTTCAAATCTGATCCTCAGATTATTCCGTCAATGTCTATGTCTATATATTCAAATTCCACAGAAGTTCTGAAGGCATGCAGGTTAGTATGGGAAATTTAATCACAAAGTGAATATTGTTGATTACTATGCAAATCAGAAAATGGAAAATATTTTGATTTTATAATATATAGAAATTATGTATAAAGTAAGGTAGTCACTTATCTAAAATATTTTCATTAGCAGTTTTTTTATTCTCCAGTATCAATGTACATATTAACATTTTCTTTTTTATGTTTTAATTTTAGTTCTGGTTTAATAAAATTGGATATTTAAAATTTTCTATAATAGTACATATATGTTATAAAAAGTTAGAAAATATAAGAAATAAAAATATATTCCAGCCTCTCAGACTACCACTGTTACGTTCATGTATGTGCGTATATTTATATTGATTTTTCTCCACATATTTGCTGTGTGTTTACATATATATATATATTTAGGTATTTGAAAACATACTATCATTTTCAGTTTATAATTTTATGTTTTCCATATCAAAAAAATTTTTAATATATTTTTATTGATTTCAGAGAGGAAGGAAGAGGGAGAGGGAGATAGAAACATCAATGGTGAGAGGAAGGGAGAGGGAGAAAGAGATAGGAAAGTGAATGGTGAGAGAGAATCATTGATTGGCTGTCTCCTGCATGCTTGCACCTTGAACATCTATCTTTGACCAAAATCAAATCCAGAACCTTTCACTTTGCAGACTGACGTTCTCTCTAGTGAGTCAAGCAGGCTGGTGCTCCATATCAAATTTAAACATATGTAATGGTATCCATATTTAAATATTTCCATTATTCAGGAAGTAACTATTTTAAAGGCTTAATAGTTTTTAGTATTTTTTTCCCAATTTAAAATTTGAAAGATTTATATTGAAAATAAACATTAGATACTTAGACTTTTTGTTGGGGAGTAATTTTTCTACATATTTAATTTATAGCTTAGCAATAATGGTATCTTTAATTAAAGAGAAAAGGAGTTAATCAAGATAAGTATGTACAATACTAGAGGCCCAATGCACAAAAATTGTACAAGGGGCTTGGCCCTTGCAACTGTGGCAGCTTGTCTCAGCTTTCACAGCCCTGGCTTCGTCTGGAAGTTCATCCAGTAGATTGTTAGCTGTCTGGTCCAATTAGCATTTTACACTTTTATTATAGATGAGAATTCTTAGCAACCATACAATTGATTCTAAAATTACTATAATTTTAAATTTAATAAAGTAGAATCTTGCTGAATATTAGGTCGTTGCACAGATAATCATTTTTGAGAATAGAAATAAGTGGACTTTGTAGATTTAAAGTGGTCACATGGGTATTCTGGAAATAGTTAAAATATGAAATAGAAAAGAAGAAAAATATTAGAAATTATTATAGACTAGAGACCTAGTGCAGGAAAATTCATGCACTCATGCAGGGTGCCACCTGCTGGCTTAGGCCTGCTCCTGGGGGATCCAGTCTAAGCTGGCAATCAAGACATCACTCTGGCAGCCTAAGAGTCCTCGGGGGATGTCCGACTAATGGTTTAGGCCCGCTCCCCGGGGGGGAATAGGCCTAAGCTGTTAGTTGGACATCTTTAGCACTGCTGCAGAGGTGGGAAAGGCTCCTGCCATCGCTGCTGCACTGGCCAGTCATGAGCCAGATTCTGGCTGAGCAGGGATCCCCTGTGGAAGGTAATTGACCACTATAGGGCAGCTCCTATGTTGAGAATCTGCCCCACTTGTGGTCAGTGCACATATAGCAACTGGTTGTTCTGCTGTAAAGTCAATTTGCATATTACCCTTTTATTATATAGTATATAAAACCTTGTGTTTTATATGTTACTCTTTTAATAGTAAATGAAGAAAATCCAAAGATTGAGAAATTTATTTTTAAAATATATTTTATTGATTTTGTACAGAGAGGAAGGGAGAGAGAGAGTTAGAAACATCGATGAGAGAGAGTCATCGATCAGCTGCCTCTTGCACACCCCCTACTGGGGATGTGCCCACAACCAAGGTACCTTCCTTGACTGGAATCAAACATAGGACCCTTGAGTCCACAGGCCATGCTCTATCCATTGAGCCAAACTGGTTATAACAGGTTGAGAAATTTGGATTATTTATATTATGTGGCTATAAATAAATCTTGTTTAGTTTTGATTAAAAGGTATAAAAAGTTAAACTGAACACATGCTTAAAGTTAAAATTAATCTGTTTTCTTTTGTTATTTTATTAAATGGATTATAGATATACTAAATTATTTTATTCTTATGAATGCCCTATACTTAAAACTTAGATTTTAACAATCTACTTTCAAAATTAATAGCTGATGCAGTTTTTCTAATTATTATTTTACAGGAATTTAGGTAACAATGGCTTGTCGAGTAGTCCAATTTTTTTTGATAAATGTCCACCTCCAAGACCACCATCGTCACCATACCCTCCTTTGCCAAAGGACAAGTTGAATCCACCTACACCTAGTATTTATGTGAGTCTCATTAATTAGTTATAAATCAAGTTTCTGAATTTGTATGTATTTTGAAGGTATGTTTTAAACCAACTCAGATTAAATTGATGTTTAGAAGTTAGGTAAGATTTAAATTTTTTTCTCAGTGGTTTGAAGATTTTGCGAAAAGGTGTTTGTATCTCAGAGAATGGGTGACAAATATTAGAGGATAGGTAATAATTGATGCTTTCAGTCTAAATATGACAAATATCTATTCTGATAAATGAAGATTTACTGATACACAAACCAAGTGGTTTACATATATTTGTTATCTCTAATTTGTTATCTCTAATTGTCAATATTATGTTTTGCATATGAGAACATTTAGTTGATAAAAACCAAATATACTTTTTGTCCTCTCACAGATAAGGTTGTTGACATTGTTATATTAGAAGTAATTTTTAAACAATATTTAAAGTGTTTTCTCATTTATGGAGTGGGCTTATATGAGAGTAATAAAAGATAGTTTTTGTGTCATCTTTTTGTTAACATGTTTCTAAATCTACATTCCTCCACCTGATGATTTGTATGTGTCTTCAAATTCATTTGATTTTATGTGATTAAAAAATGAATTTTTTATCTTTAAAAAAAGTGGTAATGAATATAAAATTGATGAGGATATAAAATACATATCACCATAAAGGTTACAGTAATTGTAAGTAGATATTTTTATTTGAAGCTAATTACATTTTTTAATTTTTACAAATTTAAGCATTTAATATAAAAAGTTGCTATGAATTAAAATGATTTGTTTTTTCCCAGAACCTCTTGTTGCCCATGCTTATCATTCCTTATAACACACAAGATAAAAGAATTCTCAACTAAAAATTAAACATTAAATAGTTGGAATGATTTTGCAGATGAGAGGGTTTTGGAGATTTGACTCTTTTTAAAAATATAACTTCTTTTTTTACATTGATATCACAGAGAAAGAAACATCTATGATGCGAGTGAATCATGGATTAGCTGCCTCCTGCATGTCCCTTAATGAGGATCGAGCCTACAACCTGGTTACATACCCTAATCATGAATTGAACTATGACTTCACCAGGAATTGAACCATGACCTCCTGGTTCATAGGTCAATGCTCAATCACTGAGCCTGCCAGTAGAGCAAATTTGGATCTTTTTTTTTTTTTTTCCTCGCTGTTATGTTAATATTTTACTAATTTAAAATTTACTGATATCTTAGCATGATAGACAGGTTCTGAGAGTAAGATGAAAATAAGCTTTTCAAAGTAAACCTTAAGAGAAGTACAAAATGAAGATTTATCTTTCATAGGTAATGTTGAATAATTTTGTATTTTAGTAGGCTAGTAAGTTTCACTTTTCCCACTCTTCTAAAAGAATTATGGCCGAGGCTGTTTTGGCTAAATGGTAGAGCTTCGGTCTGCGGACTTGGAGGGTCCCAGGTTCAATTCTGGTCAAGGGCATGTACATTGGTTGCAGGCACATCCCCAGTAGGGGGTGTGCAGGAGGCAGCTGGTCGATATTTCTCTCTCATCAGTGTTTCTAGCTCTCTATCTCTCTCTCCCTTCCTCTCTGTAAAAAAATCAATAAAATATATTTAAAAAAAAAAGAATTATGGAATTACTAGTGGCCCAGTGCACAAAATTCGTGCATGGGCAGGAGGAGTGGTCTGGGGGGGAAGTTCCTTCAGTCACCTTGCACCTTCTCCAATTGGGAATCCCTGTGGGATCTGGCCTAAACCTGCAATCAGACATCCTTCTCACAATCTGGAACCGCTGGTTCCTAACCACTCACCTGCTGGCCTGTTTGCTCCCAACTACCCTCCCCTGACAGTTTGATTCCCCAACTTTTCTCCCCTGCTAGCCTGATTGCCCCTAACCACCTTTGCCTCGGCCCCGCCCCCATGGCTTTGTCCATGGAAGGTCTCTGGAAGGTCTCTGGTCTAATTAGCATATTAGTCTTTTATTAGTATAGATACTTAAAAAGCAAACAGTAAATATTTTTGAACTGCTAAAAAATTTAAATATATCTTGTAAATTTTATGATACAACTGGTTGGTAACATCAAACTTATTAAATTTAAAATCTGTTTTTCTAAAAGGGAAATTTATATACAGTTATATCTTAATTACTTGGCTAATGATAAATAATATGTAGCAATACAACATTAATAGTTAAGATACATTGTAGATGTTAATGTAATGTTCAAATAGATAGCTTGGTTGATTAAAAAATGAAAATGATTATATAATATTTAGTCATTTTTCTTAATGAAACATTTTAATATTTCAGTTGGAAAATAAGCGTGATGCTTTCTTTCCTCCATTACATCAATTTTGTACAAATCCCAAAAACCCTGTTACGGTTATTCGTGGCCTTGCTGGAGCTCTTAAATTAGGTAAGGTTTTTTGTTTTTGTTTTTAAAGTTGGAATTTTCTTTTACTACTATTAATTTTTAAAAACATTAGATTTTTGAGTTTTTATTTAATGTTCTTTCCCTCAGTGTTAATACATGCTGTCAATATTAATTATTGATAAACTTATGGTGGATTTTTAGTTTTTATTATGGTATCATTATGCAGCATTAGTGGTTTAGGTTAGATAACCAAGAATCTTTTGAATATAAAATGCAGTTAAAGTTAGATCCTTATAAATTCTCTAGTCCCATGTTATACTCAAAATGGCTAGCTCTGTTGCTTCTAGAGAGTTTTATGCAAATTTGGAACCCCAATGATTGAAACAGTTTTAATGAAAATGGATGATTTTCATGCTCGTTTTTTTATTTTTATTTTTTATTTATTTTATTTTACTTTGTTTTATTTTATTTTAATTTTTTATTAAGGTATTATATGTGTACATATCTTACCATTGCACACCTCCAACTCCACGCACTTTTGAAAGTTTTTGAAATGTTCCTTTTACAAGTTTATTTATTAATGCAACTTTTTATTTATGAAGATCTTGGACTTTTCTCTACCAAAACTTTGGTGGAAGCTAACAATGAACACATGGTAGAAGTAAGGACACAATTGTTGCAACCAGCTGATGAAAACTGGGATCCCACTGGAACGAAGAAAATCTGGCATTGTGAAAGTAATCGATCTCATACTACGATTGCTAAGTATGCACAGTACCAGGCCTCCTCCTTCCAGGAATCATTGAGAGTATGTATTTATTTCCAGTATATTACTTTTATACACATTACTTTTATAACAATCTGTTGCATTCATATAATTTTATTTAAACAGTGCTATAACTTACAAATGATTAAAATTTCAAAAATTTAAGCAAAGTTAATAGTTCATGAGATACACATAGTTAATTGAAGAATAAAGTTACTGCTTACACTAATTTCACTTTGAAGGTAATTCTCTTTTTTTAAAATCCTAACAGCATATTTTTTTATTGATTTTTTTTTTAGAGTATATTTTATTGATTTTTTTACAGAGAGGAGGAGAGAGGGATAGAGAGCTAGAAACATCGATGAGAGAGAAACATCGACCAGCTGCCTCTTGCACACCCCCCACCGGGGATGTGCCCGCAACCGGAATTGAATCCGGGACCTTTCAGTCCGCAGACTGACGCTCTACCACTGAGCCAAACCAGTTTCGGCATTTTTTCATTGATTTTTAGAGAAAGAGAAAGACAGAGTGAAATATTAATGTGAGAGAAACATGTTGATTGGTTGCCTCCTGTACACTCCCTGATCAGGGCCCATTCAGGGAGGAACATCCAGCCAAGGTAAGTGCCCTTGATGGGAATCGAAACCAGATCCTTCAGTCCTCAGGCTGATGCTCTATCCACTGAGCCAAACTGGCTAGGCTTTGAAATGTTTTTATTTAGAATGTTAGTTTACTTAAGTAATTTAAAAAATGATTTTAGAGAAGGAGGGAGGGAGGGATAGAGAAAAGAGAGAAACATTAATGACGACAGAGAATTGTTTGGTCAGCTATCTCCTGCATGCCCTACACTGGGAATCCAGCCTGAAATCAGACATATTCTTTGACGAGAATGGAACCATGACCTCCTGGTTCATAGATCAATACTTACCTACTGAGCCACACAGCTGGGTAGTTAAGTATTATTTTAATAGGAAGAAAATTTCATTTGGTCAATGAAAGATGTTTTTATTTTGTTTTATCTGAAAGAAATTTCTATAGAAAGCATTATTACTTTTCCTGTATTAATCTCAGTTGCTCAAAAAAATTTCAGGAGAAGAAATTTACCAAAGTAGCTCAAAATTTTTCAAGAATGAAAGGTGTTAGTTGTTCTGAAATCATTTAGTAAAAATCATCTTGAAAACCATATGGCATAGGATGTTCATTTGAAGGAGTTTTTTGACTAGTTTATTGTTAACAGTTATTTGTTCAGCTATTAGTTTTTGTTTTTTTAAAAAATATATTTTATTGATTTTCCACAGAGAGGAAGGGGGAGGGATAGAGAGCTAGAAACGTCGATGAGAGAGAATCATCAACCAGCTGCCTCCTGCACACCCGCTACCAGGATGTGCCCCTAGCCAATGTACATGTCCTTGACCGGAATCGAACCTGGGACCTTTCAGTCCACAGACCGATGCTCTATCCACTAAGCCAAACTGGTTTCGGCCAGATAATTGTTTTGTTTGTTTGCTTACTTAGTAGAGGCCTGATGCATAAAATTGTTGCATAACTAGGCCTTCCTTCCCCTGGCTACCAGCAATGGCATCCCTCTAGTACTTGGGACCTAGGCCTCCCTATGTGGGGCAATCATGGGGTGATGGTTGAATCTCCAACCAATCGCATCACACCCATCGTGGCTGGCCTGGCACTAGTGGGTGTCATAGCATCCAGAAAGGGTCATCCAGAAAGAGTGTCTGGTTTAATTAGCATATTATCATAGATTTATTTTTTAATCCTCTCATGAAGATAGATAGACACATCAATTTGTTGCCTCCCACATACACCCTAACCAACCAGGAACCTAGCTATGTGCCCTGAGCAAGGTTCAAACTCATAACCCTTTAATAATATGGAAAACATTGAGTTACCTGGCCAACAAATTGGACAACCTGGCAATGAAATTATTCATTGCCAGGTTGTCCAATTTGTTGGCATAATTGTTCCTACTAATCTATTAATATAAAAGCCCAAGTGACTGAATGGTTGATGGGTTGCTATGATGTTCAGTGCCCACTAGGGGCAGACACTCAAAACAGGAGCTGCCCCTTGCTGGTCAGTACACTCCTACAGTGAGAGTGCTGCTCAGCTTACTGATAGGTGCCAGATGCAGGGCTCACAGCTGGTTTATACCACTGCAGCAGTGTGAGGCTCTCCCAATCTGGACTGCCTGGGTTATCAGGACTGACTGGGCATGAACCTGCAGCAGGTACAGTGGGGTTGGGCCAATCAGGTTTCAGCCTGATCGCCACAGGCCATGCTTAGGGACCCCTCTAGCGCACCAGTCTGTGCACTGGGCCGCTAGTTACTTATAATCCTTTTCTTTTTATTCCTGTGGTTATAGCTGTCACTTTTTACATTTCTGATTTTACTAATTAAGGTCCTGATTTTTCATTATGAATCAATCTACTTATCTTTTCAAAGAACTAGTTCTTGGTATTTTTGATCTTTTGTATATTTTAGGATTATTTCCTTTATTTTTACTCTGAACTATATCAATTTTTTCCTTCTAATGACTTTAGGATTTATTTATTGTTCATTTATGAGTTCTGTCATGTGCAAGGTTAATTTGAAAATTTTCTTGTTAAATTTTCCTTAGAACTTATTTTTTTATTTTGTTTTTGTGTTTGTTTGTTTTTTGTGTGTGTGTTTTGTGTTTTTTTTTTTTTTTTTTTTTTAATAAATCCTTATTGTTCAGATTATTACAGGTATTCCTCCCTTACCCCCTTGCATAACTCCCCTCCACCTAATTCCCGCCACTGTCTTCATCCATAGGTGTAAGATTTTTTTCAATCTATTCCTGCAAACCTCACACCCCTTATCTCCTGAGAATTGTCAGTCCACTCCCTTTCTATGTCCCTGATTATATTATATTCATCAGTCCATTATGTCCTTCAGATTTTTTATTCACTTGATTTTTAGATTCAGTTGTTGGTAGGTATGTATTTGATGTCATTTTGTTGTTCATAATTTTTACCTTTACCTTTTTCTTCTTTTTCTTAAAGAATACCTTTCAGGATTTCCTATAATCCTGGTTTGGTGGTAATGAACTCCTTTAGCTTTTTCTTGTCAGTGAAGCTCTTTATCTGACCTTCAGTTCTGAATGATAGATTTTCTGGGTAGAGTAAGCTTAGGTTCTTGCTGTTCATTGCTTTGAATATTTCTTGCCGCTCTCATCTGGCCTGCATAGTTTCTGTTGAGAAATCAGCTGACAGTCATATGGGTGCTCCCTAGTAGGTAACTAACTTTTTTCTCTTGCTGCTTTCAAGATTCTCTCTTTGTCTTTTGCCCTTGGCATTTTAATTATGATGTGTCTTGGTTTGGTCCTCTTTAGATTCCTCTTGTTTGGGGTTCTGTGCACTTCCTGGACTTGTAAGTATTTCTTTCACCAAGTGGGGGATGTTTTCTGTCATTATTTTTTCAAATAGGTTTTCAATATTTTGCTCTCTTTTCTGGCACCCCAAAAATCTGGAAGTTGGTATGCTTGAAATTGTCCCAGAGCCTTTTTACACTATGTTCATATTTTTGGATTCTTTTTTCTTTTTTGTTTTTCTAGTTGGGTGTTTTTTGTTTCCTCATATTTCAGATCTTTGGTTTGATTGTTGGGGCCCTTTAATCTACAGCTGAGTTTCTGTATATTCTTTATTTTAGATAGTGTATACTTAATTTTTGACTGGTCCTTTCCCATTTTTTTTTTCTTCTTTTTTTTGCATTCTCAGTAAGGTCCTTGAAGGTCTCACTAAGCTTCTCTTAGGTCTCATCAAGTTTCTTGGCAGTTTTTAGAATATTCTTGAGTAACCTTATAAATGTGGTTTTGAACTCTGTGTCATCCAGTCGTTTGCTTTCTTTCATTTCTTTCATTTGTTATATGTTTTTTTTGTTTGTACATTTTGGCTGCTTCCCTGTGTTGATGGAGTGGCTTTGTGTGGTAGGTGACTTATAGGGGCCAGTAGCTCAGCTTCCCCAATCACCTGAGGTGGACACTCTTGATACACCTCTTCGTGGGCTGAATGCAAAGTCTTGGTGTAGTTAAGCCTTGATTGCTATTGGTATACTAGGAGGAATTGACCTCCTGGCCAATTGGCTATGAGGACCCACTGTGTCTAGAATGGAAGAATGCTGCACTGCTGACTGGTTTATGGTGCAGGCCTTGTTGAAGTGGGCTTTTGTGCTCTCTGTGTCCTCCTCCCGAATGTATCACTTATGGATGTGAGGAGTTGAAATCTGGTGTATCACACTGACTATTAGGTACACTGGCTTCTGGATTTCCATTGGGGTGCAGGTCAGCTATTTTTTGAGGCCACCCAGTAGTAGCTACAGCAAGAACTACAGTTTTCTTCTCTTTGCTTAGAGCTTGGAGGCTTTGGATCTGTATGCACCAGGTTGCAAGTTTGCTAGGTTAAGCTGAGATAGGGCAGGCCATTCATATGCAAAAACCGCTGCTTGGAGCTTGGGTAAGTTTGTAGGTTATGTGGGGTGGGGTCTCAGGGCGTCACTAGGTTAGGGCATGGCAAACAGCAATGGCTGCCAATGAGCTGTCTCTGCATCTCAGACTATGTTCCCGCTTTTCATGTCCCAGTGCAGTTCTGCAAGCAAGCCACCCTCATGTTCTGACCTGATGGCAGACAGGCCAGCTTCTCCGCCTAGGAATTTGGGTCCCCTGAGTCTCACCAGAAACTGGAGGTCTGAGCAATTGGAAGCTTGTTTTCCTTCTGGTTGAAAAAAGCAATGCCGCCACTAGCCTGATTCGTATGCCTCCATACCTCAGCTTTTCAGTGCTTGTGCACATCTCAATGCTATTTTCTCTGTCTGTCTAGTTGTATAACTCCCACTCAGCCAGCTTTCTGATGGTTCTGGTTGATAGATGTTTTGTCTTTTAGTTGTAGTTTTGAAATTGTTGAGCACGGAGCAGTTTACTTATGCTGCCATCTTGGATCCTCCTATCTCATTGTGTTTTCTTTATTATTTTTTTCAAGTTATCTTTGAAAATCTTCCTTGAGTTTATTGTC